GAGGAGGCAGCTCCAACGCTCCTCCCCGGCTGCCTGGGCAACCCTGCCCACACCCCCCCACCAAAAGCATCTCTCCAGCCCACAATACAAGCTGATAGCGGGCACTGGGAGTGTTAGGGACGCAAACAGCTTCACTCGGCAAGCCTGCAGCAGCTCAGGAATCCGGGCCAGGGGTTTCCCCACCCACAGACCAGCCTCTAACCACCGCCGAGTACTTACCTCTGCCTCTCAGCCAGGCACCTGAGCGCTGCAAGGAAGGCAGGCACGCCTGCGCCTGGAAAAGCACCTTGCCGCTCATTGATGGCATGCCACTGAATTTTAATGTACTTTGCTGCAAACCCTTGCCACAGACAGCCTGGGGCTGTGCTACTAATTAACCTACAGAGGGAGCGAAATTGCAATTCAAAACAGGAGCTGAAATTGAATCATCACAATTGTTTTGCATTTGTTCCAGGGTGGCAAACACTCAGCTGTCATGACAAGGTCATTATGCTCGGCACTGGGTGAGATGCATGAGTGGCTGCGTTCGGCTTCTCTCTGCCGGTCACTGCTCTCCTGCACTGCAGCTGGTGCCAGCTAACCAGAGACACCCACTGCTTGAAAGCAAGCCCGAAGGCTGCAGCAGCCAGAAGAGAGATGAGCATCACAGGCTCTGTGGGTTTCCCAGGCTCCTGGGCGGCTGCCAGCACCCACAGTGCCTCAGACCCAGCTGCACGGGAAGGCTGAAGCCCCCTCCCACCACCAGCAACGGTCCCTGTAGGACAGAGGGGCCACTCTGCCTTTGGCAACAAGGTCTACAACTATCAACCGGCACTGGATGTGCTCCCAGGACCAGGGTGCCTTTGCCCTTGCTGCAAGGGATGGCCCTGACAATCCTGCCCATCCAGTCATTGGAAATAATTTAATCCAAATTCATTTCAGCGAGCGATTTCCCCCCAGCTCTGTCCTGAGCTGATGAACAGCCCCGCGCATCCCTGCTGCCACCCCATCCCCATCCAGCCCGTCTCGCGCTGACACAACTGGGTCAGCGTCTCCGCCGGCTGTGAGGGGCAGGCGGAGGGCTGGCTGCGGGAGGTATTTTTCT